CCAGTCATTACACGTTTCTTTCCTTGTAATGTAGTCGGCTATAAGTGGTTTTAAACATTAGATACAGGGGGTTTAGTGAATGGATATAGCTTGTGCTGGAGTGAACTTTTCTGTTCTGATGCTTATGATGCATGACAATTTAAGGAAGCAGCAGATTATTCTAAAACCTCCATTAGACGTGCCCATGGCTGACACTGTAGCTGTTTGAGTCTGTCATTAGCAAGACATTGAGCCGGTGAAGAAAATCAAGACCAGAGACGAGGGGAGGTAAAAAAAAATCAGAGTAAGAGATGTTTGAGTCAGCTCAGGCTAAATAATACACCTTTTCTAACATTTTACACATTTTTTGAATGTATAATATGAGAATCTATTCCTCGTGCTTCCCTCCTCATATCAGCCCTTACTCCCCACCAGCCCCTCTCCTCTAAGTATGTTCACTTCTGGCTCCTATAAACTAACATGGAGGCACCAAATTCTGAACTCGAGGTTTCATTTAGTGTCAAGAAGATGGGTGATCTCACTGTAGCTAAGTCCATCATTTATATAGTCTAAGGTACGCACCTGGCACCTTCTCAATTGCAACCCCGAGTCATTTTTTGTGTATTAGTCAAAATACTGCAGTGTCAGATGTCTTTTTAACATTTCCAAGACTCCAGTTTAAACATAAAAAAAGGAAATAATTTGATAAATGTCAATTCTAAAGGAGTTCTCATCCTTTAATCAATGCCCCTCTACGCAGTCAAATCCTTATTTGAATCTTACATCTGGATTTCCTTGAAGCCTCGAGTCATAATTCAGTTCCAGGGTGTTCTTGGCTCGGGCCTCTCCAGTCTGGCAGCATTAATCCAGGTGTGTGTGAGAGTGTGTGTGTGTGTGTGTGTGTGTGTTACCTGGTACTCATCAAGTCTCCAGCGAGGGTTTAAAGAGGGATTGAATAAGAGGAAGGAAAGCTTTCAAGGAGGGATCAGGCTAAAGCTGGGTGTCTCGGGGTCATTATTCAACAGCCATTGAGTGGCATCAGGACCCTCAAAGCAGGAGGCGGAGTGGCAGCTCCAAATGTAATGAGCACAGGGGAGTGTGTGTGTGTATGATCATTACTGTTTTGTCGTATAAAAGACGAGACAATGAGTGTGCAATGTTTACAACTTTCTTTGGTCTTAAAGGGGGAAATTCGGTTATTTCCGTTGCGCTAACCAACCATGCTCCAAATCCAGCAGTAGCAGTCAAACCTTGGTTTTACAAAAGTATGAAAAACACAAAGTGCAGAGAACAGAACATGGCTGAGTGAGTCTGTTTCAGCTGACGCGGTTGTATTTGGATCCCTCCGAGAGTTTAAAGACGCAGTCAGAGCTGACTGAGTTCTGTGAGACAGCAGAGAGGGGGCTTGGACCGGGATCAACCTCAGACCCTCAGCTCGTGACTCCTTACTGTTGGTGTGTCAGGATTATCCAGAGACCCTGTTTTGTGTTAGTTTTCAGCACTTCACATGAGGCACAGGAGAAAACATGAACATGCCTTTATTTCAACTGTCACAGTATCGGAACCAAAAAGAGAGCCATCAACTTCAAAACAACAACAGAGATCAAGTTCACTTTTACAGAAACATAAACTTGCACTCTTGCGATTCTCACTTTTTAACTTGAAATGTTTCAATAAGACACAAACATTGCAGACGTTTCGAGCACAGAGGGAAGTGTCATTTGAAGAGGGAAGTGTGTGTGAATAGTAAAGAACAAAGGAGGGAATACACTGATCAACATGCCAGTGTCAAAGAAAGATATTAAAGTGCAAAGAATTGTATATGAATTTTTGCTGAGTCAATGTTTGTGTGGAGAGAAAATCTGCTCTTGCATGAACGGAAAGTCATGGGTTCTTTCCTCTGAGCCAACATAAGCCCAGATTCTGAGAGAGAGAGAGAGAGAGAGAGAGAGAGAGAGAGAGAGAGAGAGAGAGAGAGAGAGAGGGGGGAATGACATTGTGGAAAGGGAGCCGCAGGCCGGACCCGAACCCGGGCCGCCTGCCTGGAGGACCGCAGCCTCCACACATGGGAACCACCAGAATCAACCCCAGGGCTGATATCATGTTTAAAGTAAAAAATATAATTGGTGATCAAAAGTGAGATGTGAAAACAATGAAGAAAAACAACCACAAAAAGGTTGACATAAATAAATGCAAGGGAGCTGGATAACGAATGTTTTATGTCAGTAAGGTAAATATAATAGTTTTGCTTTTTGTTAGCATGATTGGAATACAGAGGAAACCTATTTAAAAAATGTGATTTTAAATCTGAGTGGAGAGAAGCTTTAACTATGAAATCTCCAACAGAAGACGTCCAGTGGGATTCTTTCCACCTTTGAACTCTTTTGTTCCTTTGCCAAAGCAGTCCTGAAGATTTCAATAAAAATGTTTGAAGAAATGAACCACAGCAATGGACCCCAATGATGAAACAGAACTGAACGTTTAAAGAGTAACACTGCAAACACAGGTACTTGTGTCTTTCTCCCCAGAGTAATCTTAGAAGTACTAAGAATGCTATGAAGCTACATAAATAATGATGAAACGGTCTAACCAGAAACAAACACTTCCCCATTCCTCTTATCTGTCTGTGAATTTTCTCACCGTTTGGTCCTCTAAGTGTGGAGAGAAGAGGAACTAGAGCCTGAGGAAGTGATAAGATTATAATCAAGCTGTTAACACTGATAGAGTAACAACATTGCACTGTCATTGCCCCATTCTGTTCAAATTAACCGCAGAAACACACACGAGTGACTTTGGTAAACACACTCACAACATCGATGTACTACAAGAGTAAGATGTGCCGACCCCGGCCTCATAGGAACAGCATGGTGACGATCATTTCAATGTTTTTCACATTAGATCAAATTCCTCAATTGTGTTGTCAAAAGTCGACATGACAAACACGTTGAGGGGAACAATGCCAAAAGAGATGACTGTGCGGTGCGAGAAACGACAAAAATGTTGAACTATTAACTCGGGTGTCCATTAGGGGTGGGAATCAGCAGAGTCCCCACGATGCAATATTATAGCGATACTCGAGACACAATACGATTCTATTGCGACTTTTTAACATTTTGCGAAATGCTGAGAATTTAATATTATGTCCACTACACTAAACTAAATCAAGAACTGTTTTGTCAAAAAAGAAAAAATTCTCAGTCTGTCCATCTCACTTCAGTCTTTTTATTTGTATTTCAGTCTAATTGAACTTTAACAGAAATTCTGAATAATGCAACTTGTTCAAAATGAATTGTGCAACCCCCTTCAGCAGTTAAAAAGTTTAAAAAGCAAATCAAAAATCTCATCGTAAAAATATTGATACTTGGCTTCCATGAGACGATATAATGTCGCCACACAAAATATCGCGATACTAAACTGTATCGATTGATTTGGTTTTTCCATTCAAAAAGTAGTTTTGGTGCAGCAACTCACATCCTTAATTCTTTTTATAGAAAGAACAACTAAAGAAAGTTAGATGAAATGCTGAGAATAACTAAAGTGAAGTACACAAAATGTTTCCACACAATCATCCCGGTCCAAGAAGTCTTCTCTCTGACCTTAATCTAACTCAACAACATACTGACATAACTTCATGAGATGTTTCTTCTTGTTTAAATTCAGATATGTAGAGTAAAGAGTTAGGCAGGTATTTGGGTGTTTTACACTGAAAATGCAAAAAAACGTCTTGGCATTTAATAAAGAATAATCAGTTTTGTGTTTAACTTCAAACTCCAATCAAAGCCCTATGAGATCCAATTCTTTCCTTGGAAAATATTTGCTTAATCTGAAAAGTAAGAAGTGCCTGGGATGAGGGTCGTCACCTCCAAATCCAACGCCATGGTTCTCTACTGGAAACCAGTGGATTGCTCCATCAGGTGGGGATGGAGGTCTTTGCCCCTAGTGAAGGAGTTTAAGTATCTCGGGGTCTTGTTCATGAGTTAGGGTACGATGGACCGTGAGATTGACGGGATGATTGGCTCAGCCCTCGATTTACCGCTTGATCTTCATTCCAACCAGCGCCTACATGGTCATGATCTATGGGTAGTGACTGAAAGAATAAAATCATGGATACAAGCGGCAGAAATTGATTTTCCTCTGGAGGGCGGCTGGGCTCAGCCTTAAAAATAGGGAGAGGAACTCAGACACTCAGGGGGAGCTCGGAGTCTGCATCGAAAGGACTGAGGTGGTTCAGGCATCTGATTAGGAAGCTTCCTAGACGCCTCCCTTTGGAGGTTTTCCAGGCACGCCCAACTTGGAGGAAACCCGGGGTATAGACCCAGAGTTCACTGAAGGAATTAACAATCCTGTCTGGCCTGGGAACGCCTCGAAATCCTCCAGGAGGAGCTGAAAGACGTTGCTGGGGAGAGGGAAGTCTGGGTTGACTTGCCACCGCGACCCGACCTCGGATATGATCCATGTTAGTTTAAATACACAACGCATAGATTAGTAAGGAACAGGGACCAAGAAGAGGATCTCTATTTACAGATTCTCTGCGGTCTGGATTTCCAGCATGGGAAGTGTTTGGATTTATGTTTGTTGTACATTCCTAGTCTGAGCTGTATCGACCGATTACGTTTCAGCAGGCTTTGCTGCGTACAGGAGAAACAGTAGACAATAAAAGTACAGGTGGAACACTATCCGCGCTAATGACACATCAGCTCCCATTGGTGGTCATCTCGCAAAGATTTGTCTTTACAGAAATACATCTGCATAAAAGTGCAGCTCACATTCAAACACAGGAAACACATTTTACCTTGAGAGACAAATCTGCTTGATACTGTGTCATGAAACACAATCAACTTTTAGACTCCATGGCTAAGCGTCATTTTATCAGACTCACAACTTTAAACCTCGAATATGAGGAAGTGATGAGACAACAGGCTCGTCTCTGACCGGACTTCGGTTTGGTGGTTTGGATTAAAGCGATACCATCTGTTCAGATGCAGAACTGCAATCCCCTCCATGAATTCAGTCCTCGGTATATTAAGAGAGGTTCATCGTCGTATCAGTTACTCTTCATCCCTCACTGCTCTGATTGAGAACCTTTTGTCTTGACTTTGAATCACTGAAGAGGTCAGGATTACATTTTATCCCGTCAACAAGACTGTGCACGTATGATAATGATAACACAACAACTCTTTTTCCTGTTCTTTCTTTCAGGATGAAGTTCATTATGATGTTTCTCGTGTTGACGCTGGTCGTCCTCATGGCTGAACCTGGAGAGGGCTTCATTGGACACCTGATACACGGAGTCCTTCGCGGTACAGTTACTGAATCATGTGGCCTTTTAATAGTAAAAATTATTTTCCATTTACAGTATATATATTTTTATATTTGAAAGTTTAATCTTTTGGCTTTTCATGCCTTTATAATAGAGATAGGACAGTGGAGTCAGAAACCAGGGAGAGAGAGAGAGAGAGTGGGGAATGACAGGCAGGATATTAGCCACAGGTTGGATTTGAACTTTGGCTGTGCGCTTGTAGGCCATGCACACATTGGGCGCGCACTAAACACTAGGCTACCTGCACGCTAAGGAAGGGTTAGGGTTAGGATTTCCAAAACATGTCACAAAAACAAACTGCATCAGACATTATTTCTGGATGTCCTGGTTGCATCCAGTCTGTTTTATTTAAATCTGTAATTTAAATTGGTTTATAGAAATTTGTACTGTCATATTGTCGCATTGTTTTTTTATGTATTTTAATGTATCCTCATATAGAGTTGTGAGGATAATGTGATTAAATATTGTACATTTTCGCTCAGTTTGTTTAGCCAAGGCCCAACTAGAGTTGGAAATTAGCTCTAAACTCTCTGTCTAGCACATCTGTTTCATGCTTTGTATTGAAACTATATAAAATTACAATGTCCCTATTGAATAAATAAAACCAATTCAATATAAAGCGAAAACAGAAAACCAAATTTAGTTATTTATGAAGCTGATATTTACATCTGCTATATGTGAGTCACTATTTTAAAATCCAAAAAGATATATCCATAACACCAATGTTTGTTTTCTTTTATTTCCTAAAAGTCTTAACTCAGACATTCAGTATGTTTTTTTACTCTGCTGCTGGTCCTGTTCAACAATAGTTCATGTTTTACTGTCACTACATCTATATATGTCATGTCAAGTTAAAATTACAGAAGATTTAGTGTAGTAATTATCAACTCTTATCTTTTGTTTTTAGTTGGCAAGCTGATCCATGGGTAAGAAATTGTTTTTACTACACCTGGTGAAATAAATGTTCAAGTTACAGTATCAGTAGGTTCATTGCTTTGCATCAGACTTTCTCTTGTAAAGTATCACAACATTCAAACACAGTTTGTTCTCTATGTTACAGTTGATCCAGTTCCTTTTTATTAAAAACATTTATATACTTTAAATTTCCTAATTCAGTATTTACCCGACTTCCACTTTCTGTGTTGCTGTCTCATTTTAAATCATGTTTTCATCTTGTGTTTTTATTGTGTAACGTTTTTGTCATTTGTCGTTTGTTGTCTACATTTAAGCATGTGCTATATAAATAAACTTTACTTATACTTTGCTGTATTACTTCATTCTGTTACCAGGTTGGTGCACAGGCATGGAAAGATGGACCAGCAGGAGCTGGACAAACGTTCGATTGTTTTCGTACCAGATCAGCCCCCTGTTCAATAGAGAGAGAGAGACCACGCTTTTGTACTGATATCAATAAAAAATGCTTCTTGCTTTTCATGATAAAAAATATATATACACCTTCTTAAAAACGTGATGCATTGACATTCATTGATTGATGAATCTTGAAAATGAAATTGATTAAAAGTCTGTTTTTCCTGAATAAATCTGCATTTTTCAAAAGCAGCATGTTTTTTTATTGTTTTGCTAAAACATACAGATGATGAAAAAAAGGTTTTACTTCATGTAGAAGTTCCAAGCATAAAAAGGAGTAAAAACTAAAGATACCTTTGTGAGTCAAAGCGACGATGTGATGTGATGAGCAGGGGAGGAAATCAATCCAAACGTGATCAGCAACGAGCTGCTTATTTAAAGTTACGTTGTTTTAACTCAGATTTTGGAAATGATTAATAAAAGACTCAATCTTGATATCAATATCCATTTGGACTATTTCCAGACAAACATCCAGAGGCTTTGATAATATTTGCACATGTGTATACGAACCCCCTCCCTCCTCCTGTCTCCCTCACCAGAGCAGCTAATTCAGCGTCAGTGAGAGTGATCCTGGCAGGCTGAGGTGTCAAAGAGATATGGATGATGGATCTATCTCACTGTCGCCTGCAGACAACCTAAAGGGCAAACCGGACCAACGCTTAAAATGACACCTGAATGTCCCCCATAAAATAAACAAACACACACCAGCCCGAGCGGGCAGAGTTTGTTTTGGAGGGATGGAGCTTCGCTTAAAACATATCGATCGGAAATGAGATGTGGTCGGACGAGGGATGAGGTTATAAGGTGTGTGTGTGTGTGTGTGTGTGTGTGTGTGTGTGTGTGTGTGAGGGTCACTGGTGTCATTGGCCGCGGTTGTTTACCTAGAAGCGATTGCTGGCCTCGCACAGACAGAGCTGCGTGGTAAATAATAGAAAAGCGATGACAGAGGGCAGACACACAAACAGAGATCGGCATCAAGGTTAAAGATGGGGAGGGAGGTGGTTGTGTAATGGGATATTTCTTTATCGACGAGTCATTAATACATAAGGAGGGTTTGCAAAACCTCGGGGGGGGGGGGGAGCAGAGACAGACATGCAGTCAGTGTGTGTCATTACATCTGCATATCACACACGAGAGGTCTGCATGTCTCACTGACAGCACCGTCGATGTGATTAAAGCAACACCGCAGAGTCCGGTGACTCCCCCTCACTTACTCACATTACATCTCACCATTAATGTCAGATTCTGACCACAGACTGTATGAAACATGGACGTATAGTCTCAGAGATGAAGCCCATTGGTTTCTGAAGAGGTGTTAAGAGGTCCAACAATGGTGCTTGCAATTTTGAAAATGCTAGCTCAACCTAACTTTCCGATCATTTTATGAACCATACACTGTACTAAGATGGACGAAGCATTGTCAGAGCCCGAAATGTATCAACAGTAGTCAACAGATATATCACTGTTGTTGGAATATTAAGCATTTACATAATTACGTTTACATTTAATAAGATTGGTTATGTTGCCTTCAAACCCGGAGAAGACCCTGATGGTGAAAGTGTTAAAAGACATTCTTTATTTTTGTGGTTTTTTTTCCTCTTTCTGTCCTGAGGCGTCCTCTTAATAAAAGCCTGCTGTGAGAAGTCAGACAGGGCAAACAATAAAGAAGGGGCAAATGTGTCACCAAACAGAAAAAGCTTCAGGACAGAAACACTACAGCACAATCTTTCCTGTAATCTCTCAAATGTTGCTTCCTTTTGTTTTTGTCCTCTTTTCTCTTACTCTACATCACAAATCATCCTGTCCTATTCCTGAAACATGATTTGCATCTTTTAATTATATTTCCTGGACAGACATTGCACAAACTGCAGGATTCATTTTCAAGAACGGAGGCAACGCAAAGTTTAAAAAAAAAAAAGAAGTGTTATCATCAACAACATGATCGACACCTTCTCATGGCAAATCTAATCAGCATCCTGAACATTAACAATATCATCATCGTCAGTCCCAGCAATATCAATGCTTTACATTGTTATCTTTGTGCAAACAGCTCCTGACCTTTTTGAAGAATTACTTCGAGGGTAGAGTACGAAGAGACCGAATAAATTAATCAGACTAGTTTATTCCAGGCCTTTTTGTCCAATGAATCATATTTGAATGTAAAGAGGATTTTAACAAGACAAAAATCTGCTTGCAAAGTTGAACTTTAAGAAGAGATAAGTAAGAGATGGACGGATGAAGATGTGGTGACAAAGACGAGAGCAAAAAAAGGAGAGGATAGGAATAAAAATAGAAGCGTACGAGGTTTGAAATAAGGAGCGTGGGGGCTCCGGGGTCACGTAGCACTGTTCCAGTGTGTGTGTGTGTGTGTGTGTGTGTGTGTGTGTGTGTGTGTGTGTGTGTGTGTGTGTGTGTGTGTGTGTGTGTGTGTGTGTGTGTGTGTGTGTGTGTGTGTGTGTGTGTGTGTGTGTGTGTGTGTGTTTCTGTTGGTGTTAAATGCACTGATCAATAAGGTGGATGTCACCAATCTCCTCAGCAGTGACCGAATGTGGAAACAATCCCCCTGAGCAATTACTGCTCTCTCTCTCTCTCTCTCTCTCTCTCTCTCTCTCTCTCTGTCTCTCTCTCCCTCTCTCTCTCTCTCTCTCTCCCTCTCTCTCTCTCTCTCTCTCTCTCTCTGTCTCTCTCTCTCCTCTCCCTCTCTCTCTCTCTCTCTCTCTCTCTCTGTCTCTCTCTCTCCCTCTCCTCTCTCTCTCTCTCTCTCTCTCTCTCTCTCTCTCTGTCTGTCTTACTCCCTCTTATTGTTTTCTTTGACATGCTTGAATATTTATTATAATAAGCATTGTTGTCAAACTGACACATTTTAATGAGCAATTTAGTTTCAATGTTTTTTTTCAAATGAAATTAGTTTTCTATTTTGTTTCATGTGTATAAAAACACCTGTCACTTCAAGTCACTGAAAAAAAAAAAAAAAAATATATATATATATATATATATATATATATATATATATATATATATATATATATATATTAGGGACTATATATAGTTAAACTTTTAATATATTAATATAATTTGGATCATCCGTTAGTGGATCAGGCGGACAAGATGGACATATTTTCTGACAATTTACTTAAAGAAAACTAAACATTTAGTTGCCGAAATTTTGATGAATTCATGAGTATAAAACTGAAGAGATTAAAAAAAAAACACACTCCAGCAGAGTCTCAACACATTCACACTGAAGAGAGTTAACAGATTTAACCTCGACTCTTTGTTCTCTGTCTGTTTAGTGGCTTCAGTTAAATGATAAAAGAGCCTGAGTGAGACGGAGAGCAAGGCTAACTCCTTTTCTTCTCAGTCAGTACACACACACACACACACACACACACACACACACACACACACATCAAAGACGAGCAGAAACCCCGAGCTCAGTAACAGGGAGCGAGCTGTGATCCTGGTGTCACCCAGCCTGATCTTATTACAAACCTCATTACGGGCAGCAAACGCCACACGGCACATTTTGTTAATGCGAGGCTCATAAAGTGACAGACAGTCACAGCTCAGGGTTAAGACCTGCTGCTCACAGCGCAGGATTAGAGCTGTGAGGCGGAGAGGGCCTATAGCACGGGGCCTTTGTTCAATTAAAACAATCAGTCTGTCATTTATCCTTCTGCTGCTTAGAGGAGGCTGACAGAGCGTGGTGGGATTCCCCTTGACTTCTAAATGATTTCTTGAATGGCTTTTCTCTTCTTCTTAAAACGTGTAAAGAGACCACAGACAGTATAAACCATGGACGCGTCCTCAGAGACTTCACCCACTGGGCGGTCGCCATGTTGGAAATGCTATCTCAATCTAACTTCTGATCAATCTAGAAGCAGATGAAGTGGTGGAGGTGAGACGGCACACCTGTCAATCAACTTGGCTATTCCCTTAAATTATGCAAAATGATGAATAACTGAGGCTTAATGAAATCAAAACAAATATGTTACTTAGAGCAACAAAAACGTTCCAGTTAGAGGACAAAAACATAATAATTTAGGTTGATACTTTTGAGTGATATAATTCAAAATGTACAAGTTAAAATGCACCGCTAACGAAATAAAAATGGAGGAAAACGTATTTGGTGGAATAGTTAGAGGTTTAAGAGTTTGAGATTGGAAAATGACAAACACAGGATTGCCATAGAGATCGAGAGAAGCTACTATCTTAATTATCTATCCAAAGTAACGTACATCAGAGAATGAGAACAACACTAGCAAGGATCTAGAGAGAAGGAAACAACTACAGGAAGTGCAAACAAGCAGCTTTAAGTCTGATCAGAAGCACAGGTGCTGACAGGAAGTGACCAGAGGCAGAGCAGATCAATGCTTTAGATCAGTGATCATCAACTGGCGGCCTGTGGGCCACATCTGGCCCCGGCAGGCGTCCTATCCGGCCCCCAGTTTTTTTCTCGGGTGATGAAAAAATGATATTTCCCCTCTGACAACAACTTCTTCACATCAGGCTTGACAGCTTTCAGGTTTATGTGTCAGCATATTTCAAAATCCAGCCCCACAGCGTCAGTCAAGAAAAAAAAGTTGACCCTCGTACAAATGTAGTTGATGCTTTTGACGATGCGAAACAGAAACCCATTGGAGATCTTCCAGACAGAAATTGAAGAAAATCACTGGTGTAGTATTTTCACAGTAGCTCCACATACACCCTCCGAGAGAGAGAGATACAGCAGAGATGTGATTCAGACTGTGTCAATTAGTGTAATTAGAGCTACTCCACAGACACTAAGATGAAGGTATGTTCATGCTATCTCTTTCTTTTCTGGGTTTTGCTGCATAAAAGGCCTCAAAATGGGATTGAAATGACCTTGAATACACTTTTGAAGAAGCCTCTTACCATTTGAAACTACGTTTGTGATTTTGGTTATAGCTCTTGATTTCCCTCTCATTGATCCTCAGAGTGAATTCTGTAAACCACACTGTTGCAGAGTTGTGCTTAAACCCAGCAGTGATAGCCTTTTCCTTAGTAAACGACACACTGACTTCAGTGTATGAGCTGAGGAAACACCATCTCACTTTAACGTCGCCTCTAATTAGCCAGATATCAAACGCTTCACAGACTGACACGGGTGAATGAAAAAGGTATGTTTGGAGCAGATCTTCATTTTTTCC